ACTGATTAACTCTGGAAGTTTGGACTCTGTATGGTGAAAGGGATGTACAGTATGTCCCGTACTGTTCCTTCTATATTGACTGGCTCACATTTTAAAGCTGTACCTCGACACTTCCATTATTATACTCTCCAAATACTTGCAGTTAAATCCTTGACTAGTCACTTGTTTTGTAGTTGGTCTCCATCAACTTCAGAAGAATATCTGACACGTTGGCTGTTAAACGTTTCACTTTACTCACTAGCTTGTCTCTAATTGTGTCTCTCTGCTGTTTGGTTTTCAGCTAAAGAACTTCATAAAGCAAACCGTACAATTAGCAACACTACTTTTACATGATGCAAAGTCATTTCATCCATTGTTCATTTGAAAAATATCGATTAGAGAAGGTTTATTCAGTTCTCTGACACCTGCAACCAGGCTACATACTGTGTAGTGTGATGAGAAGCTGTATTTTTCTGGAGACAAAGTGTATTATGGGATGTGAGACAGTAGGAGTAGATGCGCTCAGGATCTGTCTGTCTCTCTATTAGTTGTGTTTTTCTTCTCTAGTCCACAGAGAGCCAGTGACTCAGTACTGAAGTGTGGTTTTAAATGGTTTTAATAAATGGGGTTCTTTGAGCGCCGCAGTGTGTCTCTCCCTCGACACACTCCATCCGTTCAGCACTCACAAGCTGCTCCTGACCTGATAAAAACCCCTGGAATCACCTGCTGGGCTGTGTGACTTATTTATTTATTTCATTTCAATAGGTAGAGCTGCTGAAGCGTACGCCTGTGGCATCTGGAGGTTTTATGTGGTAGAAAATGAAACTTCAGGTTGCCGGGCTGGGCTGCGCGTGATGGAGTTCACCTCTGTCCGTAATTAATGAGTGTGCTTTGGAAAATTGGAGATTGTAAAACAGCAATTATATATGCAAGTTTGGTTTGTTTCCTCAGTGGATGACGGTAGAGGGTTATATACAACGTGCAGAGCTGTTTCTTTTAATATCCGTGCATTAACTTTGTGTGCCCTCTGAAGGTGTCAACCAGTGACGTATGTCTGAATAATGATATCCCCGTCTTTCTCCCTCTGTTTTTTTTTTTTTGAGGTTTTACGGTACCATTTTAACTGTTCTCGCCTTTTCTTCTGCAGTGCTTTAATGGAACCTGACTGGATGTTTGTCTTAATGCGCTTAGCTCCTAATTTCCATATAGTGTATTGGAAACATTTTAATTCCTGTGCATGTTTTGTGGGAACTCTGGTAAAATCTTCACTACATTTGGATTGACAGTTGGATAAAAACACACCAGAAACCAGAGAGTCTACATATTTTAATAGACCAGAAAAACAAGGAGGCAGGAAGAGGAAAACAGAAAATGTGTGGCACATTGTCAGCACGCAACCAGTGTGAAAGTTTGAACAGAGATGTTGAACGCAGCTTTTTCTGTTTTCTCTTGAGCAGAAGTTCAAGTTGATGGTGAATCTGTTAGCAAACTTCACGCATCATTCAATTATACAGGAAATATACAATTCATATTTATCTACAGTCACATTTGTGTCCACTGGTTAGTCTAAGTCACTACCTTTTAGCTTTGTTTTAGTCTTTACCTGGTCTTGAGGGAAACCGTTCAGGATGTAATTATTTAACAATTACACATTATTCAGTTGGTTTGACCTCATGTGTATCTGCGCAATTACTTTGGAACCTCAACATTTTTGGTGCCACTGTTACAAAGGTTATATCAAGGGGTCGACTGATGATAAGTTGCAATATTCATTGCTTTTCTGATTATTTTATTGTTATTTTTAAAATCAATTTCCATTAAAGTACTTTTTTTGAAACAGTGATTCTTTAGTGCGTATACAGCTGCCCCTCTGTGTCTGTGGTGGGGCTGCATGGTATTGTAAAAACTGACAAGTTCTTTTTTTTTTTTTGCAATATATATTGTGATATTTATTTAGATGACTTAAATAATTCTATTTGGAAAGACAGAATATTTCTACAATGATGAGGGTTGATTTTGTATAAATGTTAACTTCCAGGGGTATGTATAAATTGACATGGACATCTTGTTTCAATAAAGTGAGAATGTGTATCCAAGAACCCTTCAGTTGGAGTACATTTTGCTCTATTTGACAGGCTTCTCTTTTACATTAGGGTATGGAAAATTAAAACCATTTGAGTTTTGTTTTTGTATCGAGCGCAAGAGCAGTTGTAACATTGTGCGTTTGAGACATATTGCCTTTAGTCATGTTTTTATGGCGCAAAGTCAATGCTGAAACAATATCCATTGGAACTGAAGCTAAAAAGACACTGATGCTGCAAGAGGAAACCAAAACGCCGTCAAACAGCGAGCTATAACCCATTGTAAATCTCTGTAAAGCCAAAAGAAGCTAAAGATTATACTGATAATTCCCTGTAGCTTCATCACTACTTTCACATTGTCATATTGTTTGCACATTATCATTAGAAAGATTTTCATTTCAGCAGCTTCAAGTCTCCTCTGATGTCTCATTTAGAGAACCAGGCTAACACCAGCCTAAGAGCCAGATCCAGCCTGCAGAAGGATTTCATATGGCATCCCATAAGTTTGGAATTCATTGCTTAAGCTTCCCTGTGTCATTAGATTTTTAGTTACAATTTACGACAGCATACAGCTTTACCTTTATCACACACTGAGGTCTATGGTTTTGAATTTAAAAGGTGTGTGTGCCCATGCTTTGTTTTGTCAGGCAGGCCAACACCCCAAAATATTCAGTTTGGATTGCTATTAAACAGAAAGGCTGCAGCCAGAGATTGATGGTTTGTAATAACTTTGAAATAAAACTATTTATAAATGAATATTTAAGGCATTTATTCATGTGACTTGCACTCACCAAGCTGGTCAGGATGCATTGTTTGGCTTAGTCATCCTTCAGTAGGTCACCTTGGCCTCTGAGGGGAACATGTCAGTCATATTTCAGTCTGTGTGACCACTGAGCATCCTCTCACCCAAGTAGTCGTGTCTGGTCTGCTGTCCTAACAGCCATACTGCGGCCATGGTTCAACAGTGGGCTGGTATTGGGAGACCCATCCAGTGTCCCTGCGCAGCCTCTCCCGTCGTCATGAGCGATGTTGTTGGGATGAACTTGAGTTACCCTCTGAGCTAATGAGCATCCCGGAGCAGCTGAGCAGTGGGTTTCAGTGACGCTTGGAGAAACAGGAAGGCCGCCGTCTGCTCGGGGTGGCCTGGCTGACATTTGGCAGGGATCAGCTTCTGTCCCACTGCGGGGATCAGCTGACCGCTTACAGCCGACTGGTGGGCTCTGTGTTGTAGTTTTGCGGGGAGGACTTCTACTCTCAGCTCAGTCTGAGGGAAACTGACAAACCAACGACAGGACACTGCAGCTCAGCTGGCTGCCCTGTGTATTGATAAAATCCTACCGGTCCATATGTCAAGATTCTATCATGCAGGTTGTTTTTGTAACAGTGCCCGCAGGATGTAGTGAGGCCAGGCAGCTTTAATGAAGATGCAGAGCTGAAGGAGCTACTTTTCCTTGCTGTAAATCAAAATTTTAAAGATTTTTTTATAAATAATAACCTCAACACAGAAACGTAGGAGTCTCTGGCCAGATTCATTGGCACTACACGTTTGTGCTACAGTATGCCATCCAGACTGGCCAGGGTTAGTTGTCCTTTGGCTAAATACCAGGATTCACAAAGTTCTGAGGCTAACAAATGTCTACCAGTGATTTATCTGAAACCCTTTAGGTACCATTATCAGCTTGTCATTTTCAGCTCTAACTGGGGACCCTGAGGATGATATAAGGATGTAAACAGTAGAATAAGATGTTATCAGTCAGATATCAAACACTTTTGGGGATTTTTTCTTCATGTTTAAGATTTCTGAAATATAACCTTAAAATATGTTTTGCAATTACTGTTCTCATATTGTTTTTTATTACAGCACAACTCTATTCTGTATCTGCAGTGCATTTCTATAGCTGGCACCTTGTATTGTCACACTGTCAGTGTATTTCTGAATGTCCTTGAGTTTACTTACTGGCATTTTTTCTGAATATAGGATACATGTAAATACACACATGAAGATTTTGTTTTTCTTTTGCTTGCCTTAGCAAAGGTTTTTTTGAGATTATGAATTTAATTTAATCTGACATTTGGCATCACCTTTTGATACTCAGCAGTTTTTTTTCTAGCCTCTGTGTGCAGTCACTAAGGAGAGTTTGTACATGTTTTTACTGGTGTGCAGCGTAAATCAGTGACACTGAGATGACAGAATAATTTTGGAGTTTGAACTGATCTGCGGGATGAGCTGCAGCTGTGGAGTCCAGACTGATGAAGCTGCAGGTGTAGGTGAGCCTGTAAACCACAGAGCAACTCTAACCTCATGAATGAATCACTCATCCTGCTCTAATTCAGGCCTCCAGCTCCTCCCCTCTGGTCTAAATCAGAGAGGTTTATTTGATTTAGTTTATTCCCTGGCTGGGTTGTCTGCCTGACTGAGCAGCTGACTGTACGGTCGACTGAACAGCTCTACTGCCTCGCAGGCTGTTCCTGCTCTGCCATCCTTGGTCAGCGAGGTACCACCGAGCGACTCGCCAGTCAAATCTGCCCGAAATCAAACTAACAAGCTCTGGCAGGAAGCAACGTGCTACCTGCTGGGAACATGGCCAACACTTTCCTGGGTTTCTATCTGAAATGCCTCATAGACTTTAACCCTCCCGTTGTGCTGTCGACATAGATCTGGTGTTTCCTGTCAGATGTTTATTCTGGTAATGAGCTGTATGTGGTGGGAGGTTTAACTGGACTTCATACCAGAGATCACAGGTTGGATCAGTGTCTGTCAGCAGCCATGTGTGATGTGTACTGGACAGGTGACAGAATAAAGCCTGAAACCGCTGATGTTGACGGATGTCTAAAGTGGATTAACAGGGGCTGCATGTTTTCAGTTGTTTCACTGGTGGCACCATTGGTTTTATGTGTGATGGCACAGTATTGATTTAATTTTTGATTCTTGTCTGTCAGGTCACCTTGACGTCATGCCTTTCCACGTGCTGCTGGAGGGGACGGGCCCACAGGTACCAGCACACCTGACCAGGATTTCCATCTCACTCATCAGCACCAGCACCAACTTAACCAACAAAATAGTCAAGGTTTGTTCACAGCAAGTCGATTATCAGAAGGGCTTTTCAGTTCTTTTTTTAAAGTTATTTTTTTGGCCTTTGTTGGTTAGAGCAGTGAGAGAGAGACAGGAAAGTGGGGGGAGAAGAGTGAGGGGGAGGACATGTGGGAAAGGGCCATGAGCAGGATTTGAACTCATGACCTCCACATCGGGACTGTAGCCCTGCACATGGGACGCCAGCTCAACCAGGTGAGCTATAGCGGCGCCCCGGGCTTTTCATTTCTAAAGAAGACTGATGACACTGATATTTCTCTACAGTAAGTCTTAAGGTACACTCTGATGGAACTATCCAGCCACATGGAGGCAATATAACTAGAACAGCATGTAAAGAATATTGCCAAGGTCAGCCCTTTCTTTCCTCTCAGAGTTCCACAGACGTCTGCGTGCTTTTAGCACAAATAGACTTGACTACGGCAGTGCTTTGTTTCCAGGTCTGTTCAAATCATTTACAACTGATGTAGTGTACGGAGTATTGTGGTTATGAATGTGTTTATTGATTGACTCCATTATGTCTAAGTTTAATTTCCCATCAAAATACTAATAATAACAGCTCACGTTGCCCTGCTCCAGTAGAGTGAACCTTCCTCTTGAGGCACAACTCATGAAGTCTCAACATTACGGCTGCATCAGCATAATGTTTGGAATGATGCCTGTGTGGTGTTCTGTAAATATTGATACACAAATTGCATTAAAAATCATAGTATTTACAGAAAATAATGACACACAAGCCATCACCTGCTGCCGAGAGACAGTTGGGCAGCATGGTCAAAAAACAACCAAGAATCACAAAAAAAGCAGGTCCGCAGTAAATTAGAAGCTGCTGAAGTTAAGTCCTTGCTCACATTCAAGTGTGTTTTAAGTAGCCATGGGCTGAGAAGCGCCATGCAAGGAGGAAGGCCTTCCTTTAGAAGCAGCAAATGAAGGCTTGACTGAAGTTTGCTGATGATCACATGGACAAAGAAAGGTCTTCTGGAGGAAAGTTTTGTGCTCAGATGAAACCAAAATTAAGAACAGTAATATGTTTGAAGGAGAAAAGGTGAAGCCTTCAACCCTAAGAACACCAAACCTGCTGTCAAACCTGATGGTGGTGGTACTACTATGCTCTGGCATTGTTCTGCTGCTAGGGGAGCTGGTGCTTTATGCAAAGTAAGTGGAATAATGAAGATGGAAGATTACATCCAAATTCTTCAGGAAAACTAAAATCAGCAGCAAGAAGGTGGGATCTTGGATGCAGCTGGGTGTTCCAACAAGATGGCGACCCAAAACCCACATCTAAAATTGTGAAGAAATTCTTAGTTCAGAGAATTAAGGTTTTAGACTGGTCTGCCCACAGTTCGGACCTAAACTTGTTAAGAGGAGCACTCAGAGACAGAACCAGTAGCTTGTCAGAAGTTTGTAGATGGCTACCAAAAGTACCAGGCTAAGGGATGTTTAACCAAATATTATCATTGCTGTATATTTATTTCATTTCCAGAAGACCTTTAATTGATCGATAAAACAAACAAACACCATGATTGTTTTTTATGACAAAGATGCGTGTTTTTCAGATTCATTTTTAGTAAACTTCATAGTCATAAGAGTCCTTGAAAACTCAAGACTGCCATGATACAGTGCTTAACACATTTATTAGACCACCTGTCATAAAAACAACGAAAAGAACAACAAAAAAAGTAAATATTTCAGAAACCTTTCCAAACTTATTTTAAAACTGAAAATGCTATTGTGTTTTATTTGCCAAATGACAAACTGAAACAACTAAAGCGTCCTTTTTCCACTTGTAATAATATGACCTCCTTTGGCCTTGACAACAGCTTGCATTCTTGCTGGCATTGTTTTTATGTACTTGTCGACAGTCTCTTTTGTTATTGAGTTCCAAGTAGTTTCTAACTGTTACCACAAACTAGCTCTAGAATAAACTTTTGTGCAATCAGTCTTTGAATTTACTACATCCCAAATTTGTTCAATAAGCTTCAAATCCAGACTTTGACTTGGCCAGTCCATCAGTTCCAGAACTCCAGATTCCTTCTTCTTGGTCAAGTAGTCTCTGCACAGCTTTAAAGTATGCTTGGAGTCATTGTTTTGTTGTACAAACCCACGACCAATCAGATTCAGTCCAGAAGGGATTCCATGATGCACTAAGATGTTGTGGTAGACAGTCTTGTTCATGGTACCGTCGATTTACACTAATTTGCCCACGCCGTTTCCACAAATGGAATCCCATACCATAATCACCATGTTTCACTGTGGGTGCAACGCATCTGGCATCAGAACGTCCTCCAGCTTTTCTGCAAACATAAACACGATGATGCTGACAGTTCAAGCATGGACTCATCCGTCCAGACTACCTTCTTCCAGTCATCAGCAGTTCAGTGTCCTTCTGTCGCAAGTACATAAAACCTTGAGGTGTCTGACATCTGCGTCAGTTAACCTTCGTTTCCCGCCTCTTCCTTGGTGCATCTTCTAAGTACCAGTCTCAGCAATTGACTCGGAAGCATACTTGACCACACTGTGAGAACACTTTATGTTTTTTCCTATTTGCCTCAGAGACCATCCAGCATCATGAAGTACTTTAATTCGAGCGCTCAGTGTTTTATCATTTTGAACAGGAATGAGGAATTTCAAACTGAATTCTCCTCTTCATCCCCAAATTTGAGCCGCTTCTCTGATAATTCATCATTTTCTTTGGTAAAACGGTAAATTAGAAAATTCATGGATAACAATAATAATTAGATTTAGAATTAGCATTAAATGGTAAATGGACTGCACTTATATAGCGCTTTTCTACCGTAGTGGCACTCAAAGCGCTTTACAATGTTTTCTCATTCACCCATTCACACACCAATGACAGAGCTGCCACGCAAGACGCTCGCCTGCCATTGGGAGCAACTTCGGGTTCAGTGTCTTGCCCAAGGACACTTCGACTGTGGAGGGGGCAGGGATCGAACCGCCAACCTTACAGTCAGATATATGAGTTCATTTGCAAAAACAGAAAACTCCATCTTCACAAACCTTCAGAAAACCCACTTTTCCATTGCCTACCTGAAACAATATCAATCAAACTTAAGTTATCTTTATTTTTTGTCATGTCATTTCTACTGAGTCAAATCCACTCAACTTCAGTTTGATATTATCTCAAGCAAACAACAAAAAAAGTTTTCTTCATATGTCTTCATATGATTTGGGTTAAAGAGCTTCTACATACTGGTGTATTACCATTACAGAAACATAACAAATGATGTTGGTAATTACCAGTGCTGTTAATTTAGGGCAGCTGCGGCATCAACCTTACACTGGGTGATGGTCTAATACAATTGTTAAGCACTATATGTGGTCTTTCCAAGTGTATGTAAACTGAGATGTGCAGTCATTACACTATGAAGCACAGTCACTTTAAGAAGCTGAAAGATGTTCTGTGCAGCCTGCTGTAGGAGCCACATCTTCTTTGCACAGTTCAAGGTTTTTTTCTTTTTTTTTATTTTCTTCACTGATGTCTATGTATTTTCTCCATTTTCATTCATCTGTCACCTGCCTCCATCTGTTCGTCCTCCTAGTTCTTTTTTTGTGTGTGTTAGAGTGTTTTCCTGTTCTTGATTAGAACATTGCAGGAATATATTAATGAAAACCAAAGCAGCAAAATAATCACCTTCTGTCTTGAAGCTCATTTCCCCAAGGCACTTATCAACACTGCTCGGTTTCCTGACGTGGCTTTGATCGGTTGACAGGCCCTCAGTGGAACTCAGCAGAGCTTCTGTCAGAGTTAAATGCTTTTCAGTTCATCTTCAAGTTGAATGTTTTAATTTTTCCTATTGCAGGGAAGAGTGGTTCAAAAAGGGCCGCTGGTGTCGTTAGCACCTGACAACTTTATCCTGAAGACTGTCATCCAAGGTAAAGCTCAAATGTGTTTTTCTCTGTGTTTGTATCAGCTTTTCATTTGTACCTGAATTCGGTCCAAGCTGCTGCCTGCTTGCTTCTGTTTTGAGTTCTTTTAGATTGTATAGCTTTATGCTTTATCTTGTCGTGACTTCCACATTTCCCTCTGCCTGCGTTTTAGTGACATTTTGGACAGTGGAAATTTTAAGGTGGAAGTGCTCTGATATTTTTTTAATAGCATTGCCCTGCTTTGTAGGTGTCAGTTAGCTTTATTTTAGATCCTTGTTCAGAGGAACCCATGGTGCTGACTGATATGACAAAGTTTAACATTTCTCAGCTTTAGAGTTGTCATCAACTGACATTTCTTTCATCTTCTCGTTCATGAAGTAAAAAGTAGCAGCACATTACCATCTGAAAGCCAGGGAAACCGAAACGTGGCCTTACAACTGTGTGTCTAAGGCTGCATTTCCACTGGAGGAACTTTTCCCAGGGAAACAGGAGAAACCCATTTACTCTTTCTGCATGTCTACTTGCAGAACCAGCGTCTAAATGGAAGTCGATGTTGTTTTCATTTATTTTGCTTCAACACAATGGCTGTGTGACGGTGAGGAGGCAAAGGTCCAGTGTGTAAATCCTTGGAAAGTTCCTAAATGTTACGAAGTAGATGTTCTAGGAACTCAACTTTTCACTAAAGACGTGTGTTCTGATTTTTGATGACACAGTTTGATTCTAAATCGAACATTAGTTCAAAGTGCTTGATTCAGTTGATAAAAGGGGAGGCGTTGAGATTCTTTTTTTTGCAGCTTTTTTTATGAAAGTTACTTTTTCTCCTGCTTATTTAAAATGACCTGCATTCACTGACTGTTCTTGTAGTCGGCCTGTACTGCTGTTCCGTGCTCCCCACACCAGTGTTATCCAAAATGTGTCCATGTGGCACTATTGAGCATGAAACTTACTTTAAATGTGATGTAAAACCAAAACTAGAAGCCTGAAGAAGCAAAAAAAAAACAAAAAACAAAAAAAACAGCAGAGAAATTCAGGATTTCTGTTGTAGAATGCTTTGGTGTGTGTCTGTGTGGCTGTTTGGACTGTGTGTGTTCGTGTAAGCTGCTCAGCTAGTCTGGGCTGTAGTGGCAGAAGGAGACGGCCAGCGTGCCTTATTGTTGTCTTGTCTTCTTATCCACGAGCCGCCTCATTAAAGAGCCACAGAGAGCTCAGACTCTTTTTGTGGCAGTGACATACCTGTTTTTATTCATTTAAACTCTGTGACACCCTGTCTGTGTTTCGAGCTGCAAAAATGAACAGGTCGTCCTCTTTTGTATCGTGGCTTATACACACTTTGTCAGTTTTGTTCCAGTGTTTAACCTGCTGTGTTGGAGTTTGTCGTTGTGATTGTGACTGTCTCGCTCTTTGTTTATATTCTCTATAATATTAAACCTGTAATGATCTGGCTGAATTAAAAATCTTCAGTGTATATCTGAGAAGTAACATGAGGTAGCGCTTTGGATCTGACACCATGTCTGTTTGTACTGTTGTTCAGGCAATAAATCTGGTCATCTGGCACCTAAATCAGGTAGTGGAAGAGCAAACAATACAAACTGTTATTAGTGTGTTTTTGAAAAAGTGACAGTGTTGGAAAAAACCTGTCACTTGGATTTTTTAAAAAGTGTTTGCATGTCTGCGAATACATCTCCAGAAAATGTGCAAAACTTTCAGAAGTCAAAACAAAAATGTGCAAACAGTCAGATACAGCTTAAAAAACTGTGATCTTGTTTGGAAGACTGTTCTTTTAGTTTTGTGTAGTGAGCTTGTCGAGACAATTTGGAGAACTGTTGTACGCAAGGAAAATTTGGTTCCAGTTCAGAGAAGGAACTCGAGCCAATTTAAACATGTATCTGAAACATCAACGTAATATCTGTCTGATAGCATTGTATAGCCGTCAGAACTGCCTTCTCCGTCCTGTTCTTAATAGTACTGCAGTATAAGATTGTACCACGACAAAGTCAGAGAACAAATAGAAAACAAGAGGAAAAGGAGTTGGTTTAGCTGCTACTGTGTCCATGTCCTACTTTGTTTCATGTACAGACTAACTTTTCCACTTTGTTAAAGGGTTTGATAGTTTCTTTTGGAGTTGGACTACTGACTTAAATAATGAGCCCTCTTGTTATTCATATTTACCTTGCTGGTACATTTTGTATCGTTCTGCATTATACAGTGACACACTGTTTGTATAAACGGAAAAACATAAAATGAGCATTATGCTGATGTTTAAGGAAAATTTGGGATTTAGACGAGTTAATTAATTCATAAACTAGTCGATAGAATAATTGATAGAAAAATAATCGTTAGTGGCAGCCCTAGAAGTTGAATTCTTCATCCATGCATATTTGATGTTTTGGTCGATGAAGTGTCTGAAAACAGTGAAAAACAGCCGTCACAACTCACTAGAGCCGGGGCGACAAAACAAAGACCTTGTCTGGCAATCAATCACAATTCTAAAGGTGTTCAATGAGACCAAGAAAATCACAGCGATTATCAAAATAGTCATATTATTGCTACTTCATTTTATAATGATCAACTCATCATTTAAAATGAATTGGATTCCAGAAACTATGCAACACATTTAATTATGATGATTTAGTTTTCCTACATTCATGGCTATAAACATTTGTCTGCCATAAATGACCTATTCTGAATCTTCATCTCTACTCTGTCCAGTTTAAAGGCATGTTCTGTGTGTGCTTTTCAGAAGAAGACTCTGTGCCCAAAGCCTCGTCTCAGAATCTGTCCATCAACGTCGTCCTTTTCGGAGAACTGGCCAAGAACTTCAGTGAAGCTGTCAATCTGGAGGTTGGTTCTCTGAGTCATCAAAGATATGATGTTAAACCACAATCAACAAACAAGAATTAAAGGGTTTCTAATGGGACACTTAAAAAAACAAAAGAAAAAAGATTGTATTCAACATTACAAGTGTATCTCTGTGCAAAACAAATCATGTGAAATTGCTTCTTAAAAGAATATTTTTTAAATTTCAGTGACAGTTTAGACTACAGTTACCGTAAATTCCGGACTATTGAGAGCACCGAAATATATAAGCCGCACCCACTAACTTTAATAAGAAAGCAAATTTTGTACATATATAGGCCGAACTTGTCAATAAGGTGTCCACGTTGTAACGTGAGATATTTATACAGAAAGATGTTACATAGAAAGATTTTTTAAAACTTTTAATTAAGTACGAGCTGGTAACCTCCACAAATACGTACCGAAAATGCTTTTTTCTGAACAGTGCCTGTAACATGGCTGGTTAAAAAAATAAAAAATACAGTAGCCTACCAGGAAAAGTCATTGATCGCTATCTTCATCTTCCTCCTGTGCACTAAAACCACTGAAGTCGTCTTCAACAGCCTCAGCATGACTTCAGTTGTTAAATCACTCACTTACTGCTCTGAAAACGTTTACCTGATGGCAGCAGTTCAAACAGTTTATGGAGAGGGTCTAAGGAGTCCCTGACAATGTTCAGTGTCCTGCTCCTGCAGCAGCTCTGGAAAAATTCAGAGCTGTCTGTCTGTCCGCACAGAAAGATGTCGTCCTCTCCAGCTTTGTGACAGTCTGGGATGTTGTCATGAAGCCATGTTTCTGATAAAACAAACACATAGCAGTCCCTCCACTCTCTGCGGGTTTCTACCAGAAAACGTAGCTCGTCCAGCTTGTTGTCGAAGGAGTGGACATTGGAGAGTAGGAGCGACAATCCTGCTGGTCTGGAGGGGTTAGCCTTTAGCTCTCTTCCTCCTCCTTAGTTTATGTTTGTACCACTTGCGCTTTCTTCTCTCTCGGGTAACTGCCGGCGTGGTTTCCGATCAGACTCCGTGTTGGTGTAGTATGTCCACATCACAACCGGCCGCCGCAATTTTATTAACGTTCATTACCCTGATGTCCAGCAAATTCTCTCAGCTGTAAGTTTTGTAGAGTGGACTCCCAAAGGGGCTGCTGCGTCTATGCACGCCGCCGTCTCATGTAACCCATCTAAGAAACAGGTAAACGGGAAATTACTTCCATTTTAATGACAAGTTCTTGCTCTCGTTCGTCTAGTTTGCGTTTCCTTTAGCGCAATGCATGATGGCCCATATTGCTTTGTTAGTGACCATCGGCTATACACTACTTTTCATGTTGCATTGTGGGATATTTTGAGTGCACTATATAGGGTGTAACATTTTTTAACTTAACAGTCAGACAGCACTACAAAATGGCGAACACCCTATACAGTGCACTATGTATTGTATAGGGGGTGATTTCGGACACAGCCTCTTTTGTTGTCACTCTCAATGTCACTTTCATCTCGAGGCAAATTCATAAAACTCGTAAAAATCCATAAATTAGCCACATCATTGTTTAAGCCACAGTGTTAAAGCGTGTAAAAAAAAGTAGCGGCTTGTAGTCCGGAATTTACGGTACTCGAAGTATTGCACAAATATTGACCCAACTGTCAAAAATAAATACTGTTTAAGGAGGTATCCCTCACATTTTGATTTCATTGGCAACCCAGATTCTTACTTGACTGCAACACAGCCAAGACTGACTTCAGGCTTAAAAACAAAACGATGCGTAGAGCTACAGCAATCTTGGTGGCTTTTTTAATTAAGGATTAGTGTTACATCAGGGTTTTTTTTTTTAAACTTAACAAGTGCTGACAGCAGTTTTTCTGAAGTACATCTTTAGATCGTGTTCACACCTCATCCATGAATCCTGTATCACATGCTGCGGTGAAAAAGTGTGGATTGGGATGATGTTGTTATGCTGACTGATGTGTGCGTGACTGCTAAATTCAGTTTACAGTTCAGGTTATTTTCTGCTCCTTTTCTCTCCTCTGTGTCACCTGAGTGTTAACAAAGCCTGGTGGTTTCCTTGTTACCTGACAGTTCTCCCACTCTTTGACTTCATCAGCTTCCAGTATATCTTAATTTGCAGAGCTATTGTCATCATAACCCTCCAATATCAAAGAAAATGCTACTCAGCCACACCATCATTACAATGAGATTGAACTGGAAAATACAACATACCTGTCTACAGTTTGACGGTTAATATTTAAAAGATAGAAGAGTAATCAGAAGAACGTCACCCTGTTTTGTTATTAGTTCGTATGTTAGTATTAAGGCTGTACATGATACTAATTTTACCATACGATGTGTTGTAGAACAGATACCTCCACCCTCATTGGAGGCTGATGTATAATGTGTAATGTTTAATCTAAGTACAATGACAGTCAGCTCTCCAACAGTAAACATTTGTTGTTTTAATTATCTTTTATGATGCATCGGCTGTGTCCCGCTAAATGAAGACAGATGCTCGGTTTAGAATTGTCAACCCCAAACCCGTAATTCTGCTTGGACTCATCTGTTCAATTTATGGTGGTTATATGTTGTTTTGTTTTTTTTAAATCAGAAAATAAATGCATTTAGAGAACATGTTTTTGCCACACAGAGAGGAGTTTTGAGAAGTTTCTCTGTTGGCGCTGGGTGCTTACAGCCCCACAGGGTTGCACGAAGAACAGGTTGAAAGGCTTTTAGTAATGAATATTCATGAGATGCCATTTAGACTGCATTATGGTATTTTCATTAAAAACAAAATCTGGCTGTTTGGAAAGTGTGTCAGTGGAAATGTTTTTTTTCTGGATCATAAACCCTGTGATTTGAGTAAGGCAATGAGATGAGTATGATTCATCTGATTTGCTGATGAGCACAACATTAATCTGTAGAATGAGATAAATTAATTTGCATAGTGTTAAGCCCCTGATGGTTTGAAGTAATGGAATATTCTATGCTTCCAAACAAATCAGTGAAACAGTCAACACTGGCAGTTTATTCTATATTATTATCTGAACCATTTTATTTGGTGGTTGTATATAGTGACGAGTGGAAAAACTACAATAATGAGACAGATGTTGTGATAAAGGAGAATTTATCGGTGTTTGAGTATTTATTTCATTTACCCTGAGGAAAAAAACTAAACAAAAAACCCCAATATTAGTTTAGTTTTAATGTTATTTGCTCATCTGTTGCATTTCTGGTAACCGGTTTGACAAAGATACACTTTGATTTTGGCTTAGATCTAACAAACCTTCCAACCATAGTTAATCACTGACATCTATTTTTGGAATGAAGTTGTTTGACTAGTTTAAGTAGGACGATTTGCTATAAATTCTGGATGAATACAGACTTTTTTCAAATGAAAAAAAACATGCAACTGCATCACAACAGCTCCCTTCTCTCCAAACAAGAACAATTGATTTCTTTAACACTTTAAAAGTTAACAGCAGCAGCTCCTTGGTTTTTCATGAAAACGGTTAATTTAGAAGAGCCCTAGAATACAGGGTTATACAGTTATTGTAAAATGAACCATCTTTGCAGTATTTGCACTAAAAAGGCAAAAAAACTTACTGTGAGAAAATGTGATAGTTTGATAGATTTGCTGAACAGGGCCATGGTGTGGGACCTTTAAGACATAAAATCAGTCAGTCGGTGGTGAAACAGTGTAGCTTGCATTCAGCTAGTCTCAGACAAAACATAAAAATTGCAAAAGTTTAATCCACTGAATAGATGATGGTGAACGCTGTTGCTCTGTTCACGCAGCTTGTATTTTCATGTATCAGGGCTCAGGTGTGACGTTTCAAAGTAGCTCTACAGCTCTCTTAATCTGAACAAAGTGACTGAGAATCATTGTTGCTTTAGCTCACAGTGACACTCTCAGTCCACTCGGATACTGACACATCTGTACACAGCAGCATCTCTGATGTTGTTTACAGAGTTGAATCTGTTTGTGTCCTGGGTGGAGACAGTGAACACATCAGGGATAATCCTCCTTAGCAGTATCTCACTGTGTTTTTGGTTTCCCTACAGTGGCGTCTTGATAGAACTCAAAGCCCTGTAAAGCTTGGTGAAGGCAGGAAGTCATTGCAGCTTGAGCTGCTGTGCTCAGCTATGGATCACAGAGGTCTTGTCAGGCTGTGTGTCTCTGTAACGTGATTATTCAGACTATCTGCTGTCCCTTTGTCAGCCCTGAGCAGAGGCTTTAAAGCCATCTCGGGGGCAGCTGACACGCCAAACAAAAGACAATCTTCACTTTTCACACACCAGCTTATCATAGGCAGCTTGTTGTGACGTCTTGCTTAGCGTCTCTCAGGATGCAACATCTGTTGCTTCAATCTGCCCCTCCCTTTGGGAAGAAGGATGTATATTTATCGCTCTCTGCTCTCCCAGTTTTAATCCCATGCATCTTGTGTTTCCCTGCAGGATGTGGTGGTGGCCTCTGGCTTCACTGTGGACAAATCTCCCACAGTTCGTAAGGACAACCTGCACCCTTTTAACCTGCTGCTGTCTGGAGGTGACGCCTGCATTTATGTGAGAACTTTAACAAATCTAAGTAGTGTGAACTTTATGGATACACATATCACATAGGTTTTTTTTGTTTTCTAGTATTTACACTAAAGGCACTTTCACACTCTGCAAACGTGTTCGTTTTCATTTGTGATCTGAAAGCAAATTTATCAGTCATTGTGTTTTACATGAAGTCCATCAACTGCACCCGAAGTCATGACCAGATGACCCCCAGTGAGGTTGTGACCTCTTCTCTGTCGGCACTTAATACATCCCAGTTTCATTATCTGAGCGTGTGCCTGTTTGTATGTGTGAATTCAGTCTGCAGGCTGCAACAGTCTGTTAGAGGAAGAGATCTTCTGTGTGAGCTAAAAACTGAACATGACTCATCTCTGGCCATGTCTAACTCTATGCTGTTGTCAGACAGACATAAAAACAACACCACCTGGAGACCTGTCTCTGTTTACCTGCTAATGAATTTCTCATCAACCTCATGTTTTACCTGCAGGCAGTCGTCAGCACATTAACAATGCAAGAAGTTACCGCAGACTTCCAGCAGAGACTAACTTTTTCTTAATTTTCCTACACATCCAACATATCACGTGCAATTTCAAAAACTTTCCCCCCCCTATACACTAATAAAATAAATACATGAATGCAATCATAAAGTTTGAGGATTTCGAAACATTTACTAACACAAGAAGTTCTGTCATGAAAAATGGAGAAATATTTCAGGATCTGCTTTATTTCTAGATCAACATCAGCAGTCAAACAACATTTGATTGTGTCTCTAAACCTCTCCACAAGAGGGAAAAAGCGACAAATGCTTTTGGTAGGCTAAAACATAGCAGTGTTTCACAGTGGATAGTGGAATAAGTCCTATTTACTGATGAATCCCAGTTCAGGATTCGTGTCAGTAACAGAAGTGTGAATGTAAGGAGACTGGCAGGCGAGAGCCAATGATACCACAGTCAGTTAAACTCACAATAAAACATGCTGCTGGGAATATTCAAGTCCGTTGCTCCTCTGGAGTTGGGCCTGTACTGAATCAACTTCAACCTTACCAAGGACAAGTAGCACTCCATCCTTCAGAGACAGGCTCCACCTTCTGGTTTGCATTTTTTGGGAGAAGTATTCATACTGTAGGAGGATAATGAGCCCAAACACACCCCAAAGCTTGGACTTGAAAACCAAACAACACCAAGGAGTGCCAACTTCTTTTCAGAAAGACAAATCATGTACCCAGTATTCAAAATCTATATAAAAATAACTCTTGTGTTTTCTCTCTGCTTCTGCCAAATAAAATAATCTTCGAGCAAATGCACAGGGGTGGCAAACTTATACTTTAAATGTAAAATCACTCCTCAGCCAGTAGATGTATCGAAAATCGCAGTTAAATCAGTCTGCATTGATCTGTACATTCATATGAGTGATCCTAATAGTACCTGTTGTCCAAGCTGCTTTATACTTGCTGAAACTCTCTTCCTTCAGTTCATTAAATCCCTGCAGCATCTGAAGGCAACAGGACACATATTGATAAATGAGCAGCATCTGATTAGAGAAGTGTCGTGCCGAGGCACAGTGCCATTACATATCACCGTCCACTGTGTTTACCCTCATTAAAATCAAAATGACACCAGGGTGCGACACTAAGTAACCCCAATCATTACAAAACCATCAGACTCTTGGCATTGTGTAGCTTATGTAGGTGATATTGAATTACAGTCCTGTCTGTCACTTCCTCTTTTCCATTTTTTTTTTCATGTATACATGATGGTGCAAACTCTGCTGGCACATTTTACAATGAGATGTGCTGTTTACGACACAACGTAAAACTCAAATAGCGTGAATTGATGACACATAAACAGCTTCATAAATGTTCTTTTATTGTTAATATAATGCCCACTCCCCCTCCCACCGTCTGTGTAAGGTGTTGTGTGCTGCTACTCTGCACTATTTAGACAACAGTAAAATCTTCTGGAGAAGCCTCTTTCCACAAGGTTGAGCTGCTGTCGTCATTAGCACAGCTGTTATAGAGGGAAGAGTCCAGTGATGTGACTTGCTCAGAGTGAAATTCATTAGGCATCATACTTATATTTATATTCCACTTCCACATAAAGAGTGGAGGTGTGCCCTAAGTCATTAACACCATCTGGGTGCCCAAGACCAATGACACATAGTTATGTCACTTAAAGATTCCTTTAACCTTTAGATTTCAGGCAAATTTGTGTGTTTGGTCTGCAGTTGTGAGCAAAAGTTTAAATATTCTTGAACAGACGCATAGAAAGTTAACACTTACAGAAATCATTGGAAACTCCAGAAAGCCGTGATATATACATGGTCTATACCAGGGAAAGTAAACTATTGTTTACGACTGTATAGAAACAAAGTGGACTGTTAAGCCCTATTGTATTCTGACGTAAAAAGTCACTGAACTTCTATTTTAATTTTAGACTGTTGACACTTTCTACTCACCTCTGCAGTGTGTCTGCTGATTTGGCCTTCACTGCTGAGAACACTGGAAGCTGAACAACAACGTAACACCTTATCTCTGTGTGCTGCTGCTCTGCAGGTGTCCCGTCCACAGCCTCCTCCTGACAGCAGGTCCCCGCTGGCCAACAAGAGGAGCTCCACACTCTCTACTGAGGTCAGAGTCAGAGGCTTGGTTAGCTGAAGATGCTGCGGTAGTGTGTTGTAGGTGTCTTGTAATGTAAAAGAAATGAAGCACAGCAAATGTTACATCTGCTGTAGTCATACCGGTACTAGTTGGCCTCCTCACTGAATGGACCACACTTAGAAAAACATCAAAAATGGTGCTGGTTGCATTTTAATAACAGACAAGCCGTGTCCCAGTACCTCTAGGGTGGAGCAGTTTAGGGGGCCAGTATTCTCCATCATAAGCACTTGTTATAGATAACTGCACAGCTTCAGAAACCTCACCTCCACATTCCTTGCTGGGACTATTTTATCCAAAATCATTTTGAGCTGACTCATGTTATGAGCACAGCATGTGTACAGATCTGAATATCGGTCTTTGAGCTGCTTAGATATGTATGAAGTGTTTCCTCTGTGACACCATATGGCTTCTTGCTTTTGGTTGTCTAAAAGCGACCCTGATTATCTGATTCAAACACATAAAGTCTCCATACATGACTCCTGGTGTGTTTTTGAACCTGCTGCTGTACCTGCTGCTGCCCTTCCACATGTTGTTGCCCCATATCATGAGCACCATCAGCATGTTCAGTACTAAAACTGATGCTATCTACTATCACATTTTCAGGACTTGGGAATCGACTTGATCTTTGATAAACCTATTACGATAGCATTTGCCTCCTGGAATAGCTGTGCAGCCTTATCCCCATATTTATCTCACCCTTTTCTATGTTGGCTGACTTTTTACTTCACTTTTGAGTGTGGTTGTTCAAGATAACTATAAACACTGATGATCTATGACATGGCAGGACAATACATTGTACAAGCTTGATTGATTATTAACTAACCTGACACTTGAGTGTTCTTTAACATAATTTTTTGTAGATATTGCTTAAGCACACCTACATTTAATTCACAAAACCCCCAAAATTCAACTGAATTAAAATATGTTTTTGCAGATCTATCAAACTTTACACTGGTCAGCAACAACAACCGCCAGCTTAATATTGTGTAAGCAAAGTAACATCCATGTGAATGCCAATCCCTTAGTTTCCCAGCAGAACAATGTGTAACAAGATGGATACTGTTTTACACTTTATGTGCCAGTTGTTACAGTGTTGTGGCTGATCAGTGTATACAGGAGAGTGATTTTTTTAAACACTATGTATATGCACATTCATTAAAAAAAATGCCTTCTTTCCTTTGTTTTTTTGATATGAAAAAGTAAGTAAACAGCTATGCATCAGGTGTGTAGATGTACTTGCCTTTTGCATAGATTGCTCTCACATAAAAGGTAGCAGATGTCCAGCTTTTATTTCTTTTCCTCTGTTGAGATTGCTGTCAGAGCCAGAAGTCAAACACCAACATGAGGACCAGAAAACAGACTCTGACAGCTCATCTATAAGAAGAGAAAAGAACTGTCATTGAGAACTACACCACAGGAAATGGATATATTAAGTACAATAGTGTGGAAAACTCAGAAGAAAGCAGAAGCCAGTGGTAGCCTGCAAAGTAAACACATGATAGGTTACCCACAGGAAACAAATGCAAATGATGACAGAAAAGTACTTTATGCTTCCTTTGAATGCCACTTTAGAGAACCGAGGTGTGAAAGCATCATAAGACGTAAGACTTACAGCATAAACACACAGAATTAGACATCCCAAACATAAACTGTAAGATTAAAACTTCTTTTTAGCTACAAGAAAGTTAGATTAGAATTTGCCAAAAATAAACAAGAAGTCCAAAAATTTCTGAAGCAAAGTTTTCGAAACAGACCAAAACGAACCTTAGCCAAAAGTATTGGGAAAGACAGGAGGGGGCCATGATTCAAAAATTCCAGCTCATCAGTGAAACATAGAGGAGGTCGCATTAGAGGCCTGGACATATGGCCGCTTCTGGAGCTGGATCACTTGTGTTTACTGATGATGGAACAGATGACAGCAGCAGGAGGAGGAATTCAGAAGTGTACAGACTCATTTTGTCTGGCTTTGGTGTACAAAGCAACTCCTCCAGTCTCACTGGCTGGTCCTTCATCCTGCCCCAAGGCAATGACCTCAAACACACTGCCTGTGCTACCAGAGCTGTTAGCAGCGACAAGAACTGGTACATCACAGATGAGCCGAGTCAGACGCCAGATTTAATCCCTGCTACATTTTACCTGCAGTAGGTATTAATATATTATCAGTAAATTTGGCAAGCAAGGCTAACCCACCTTCACTTTCTGAATGAAGTACAAACATTCTAAAGGGACAGGCACACTGTAAAAACAACGATCAAGCAACTTGCATGATTTAAAACCCATCAAACTGCAGAAAAACATGACAATGGATATGAAAGTGAGCTTTGAGCTCTGTTCAAGACACTGCTGAGGTCATCTACCACCACTGCTGGACATACGCTAATATAATACAACATAGGTATAAAGAGCCTGACAAGTACAGGAAAAACAATGTTAAGCCAATGACAGAAATATACCAAGAGTGAGGTTGGAAAACAGAAAATAACAACGAACAGACACAGCACACAGAATAACACTCACAGTAAGAGATTAGAGATTTTCAAAATCCTGTGATCAAAGTTTAAAGACTGGATTTAAAAGAAGATTTAGAATTTTCCTCTGTTAGATCTGTACTGTAGAGCAAACGCTGGCAAAAATAAATGTTGGACAGGCTTCGTCTCCCTGGTTTTCTCTTTGATGAGCATATGCTCATTTTTCAGATCTTTATTATTCTCTTCTGAATGCTACATCTTACTGGAGAAACTCAAAGAGATGGAGGAAATTTGCAAACTATCAGCTACTCTGATCAGTCATTTCCGAAGCTATTAGCTTTTATCGGTCTAGTTAAATGCCAAGATTACACAATCTTGTCAGTCACTGAAAACACATGATTCATAATTGATTAATTGTTCATGCCAGCAGTTTGGCTTCCTCACAGTCTGTAATGATAAAGAGCTGTGGAGGCTTCTCTGTCGCCTAACTGTTAGCATGTTAACATGACTGTTTGACAGATGTTTACTCATTTAGACACACAGTAAAGCCATCGTTGTAATGTGCATTACCAGAAAGCTATGCCAGTTCCAGACTGTACAATATTACTCTGATAATAACCCAGTTGAAAGACTAAGATGTCGGGCGTCTGAACTGAAAATAGGCAACCAATGCTGAATGCGAAAGAATTAGGCTGTCGGAATTTCATTTACATTCTTTCAGCAACTACATTTTTTTCCTTCCATTCCTTCCATTTTTTTTGAAGGATTTTCTGAACATAAGACAAGGCTCCCCAGGTAGTTGTAGTCCATGTATGCCTAAGTGAATAACAACTAGGCAGATACTTACAGGCAATAGACTTTACTGTATTAAAAGGGGGATGAAAGTGTAAGCCTTGGTCAAAAACTGTATGCCAGATAATCGTAGGGGATATCTACACTGATCAGGCACAGCAGTAAAACCACCTGTCTATTATTGTGTAGGTCCCCCTCGTGCTACCAAAACAGCTCTAAATAGTTGGGGCATGGGCAGTGGAAGGGGACGTCCTGTGGTGTCTGGCTCCAGGATGTGGGGAACACATCGTTTGGCTTCTGTGGGTTGCAGGGCGGGGCCTATGTGAACGGGGCTTGTTCCAGCAGTTTTCGTGGATGCTTGATTAGATTGTGATGTGTAGAGTTTGAAGGCTTGGACTCCTTGTCGTGTTCCTGAAGCCGTTCCTGACCAGTTTGTGCAATGCTGGCGGGCTGCTGCCACTGAGGACTGTCGTTGCCATGGGGAGTATGCTTTGTCTGCAACAATGTCAAAGTGACTTCCACATAAATGTCTGAACCGAGTGTTTCCCACCAGAACGTTGTAGCAAGACAACCAATGACATTAACTTCACCAGGCATTGTTTTTACTGTTGTTGCTGATCTCTACATGCTAACATCCTAACATTGGTGCGTGAACACTACCATACAACATGGAATATTAACCTGGGCTGATTTTGCTTCTTGTTAACACTGTTTTTTTTTTTCTCATCAGGTTTCCAGGACAACTAAGGCTCCAAAATACACGTATGTCCAACTGGGTGACCTGTCGGCTGAATCTGTTGTTAACGTGTATGGCGTGGTGGTGTTCTTCAAACCACCGTTTAAAAGTCGTGGCCCAGGTCAGTCAAGAACTCCGACCGCTGTGTGGTTGTGTATGTGTCTCAAACAGAAGACTATATGTCTACAGTAATGCTAGTAGCTCCATCTGACTGTACTTTGGCACGTTGAAGCTAAATACTAATGTCAGCGTGTCCACACAGACAATGTGCTGCAAAATTTTATGTTTACCATCTTCATCTTTTTATTTACATATGTTAGCACGCTACCATTTGCTATCTAGCATTAAACACAGACAAAGTATACCTGAGGCTGATAAAAAAGAATCTAAGTTAACGTATTAATTAAAGAATTGAACAGATTCAGATTTTGATTGGATGATTGTACTGGATAAAAAAAAATCAACAAGTTCTTATAATTCATGCCACAGAGATCATGAATGTCTACACCAGAAATTTGTGATAATCCATACAATAGTTGTGACAGTATTTTAGTGTGGACCAAAATTTTGAACCAACCAACTGACTGACCAACATTGCCTACCTGCAGAGCTTTCACTACTGATTAAAGGGCTTCTGCTGAGATACAGTCATATTTTGAGAAAGAAAAGTCATGTTAATTTTAACAAAAATGATCGTATTATCTAAATCAGTATAGACTGAAAATCCTATTGTTCTAAAGACAGTGAAGATTTTATGTCAGAATGTTGAAAACAAAGTCATGCTTTTCCAAATGTGTTGAATGAAGTTTCTATTTTTACAAAATGTATAGAATTTCCAAAAAGAAGAAAAAAAAAAAGTCACTAGTTTGTTGTTTTTTTTTCTCCAATTTAAAACTTCTGTTTTTATTTCCATTCTAATATTATAAACCAAGGTTTTTTGATATGTGAACCTTTACCAGGGATTAAACAGTTTTCTTACAGTTACTATTATAAAACCAGTAAAAGTAAAAGAAGGTTCACTGTTTCAGCACCAGGGACAGAGGTGTAAAATGCTCAGCATCTGTGTTTGCGAATTATTTTCGAAATATGTCTAAAACTGTCAGAAAATGTGCTAGTTATTGATAAACGGGGCAAGAAACTTGAGGAACACTTCCTCCTCTGTAGCAGAAATGAGCTGACAGACACACAGAAAGAGAAAGTCTGAAGCTATAAAACCTGGATCAGTATTGAGTGAGAACACAAGCTGCTGCAGAGTGTTGTTTGGATGGAAATATCTGTGATTAATCCTGTACATACTCAGAGAGGTGTTGAAAGAGGTGCAGAGGAGCCGGATGGCTAAACATATTTTCAGTTTAAGTGTTGATGGTCTAATAATGGAGGTCTGGGTTTAAAAGCTTCAATACTCTTCATCATCACTCCGGGAGCTGTGCAAATTTAATCCACTGAACCTTGGGAGCAATGTTTAGTCATTTACTTCATTTCCCTATTAAGACTGTGCAAATGATATCATCATCATCAAATAGGGAAGATGCCTTTTGACTTGAGGTTAGCTTTCAGATAACTGCGTCAATACTACAAGGAAGAATGATGGAAATGGTGGTGAGGCAATAAACACCAGACCGTTCAGTCTGGGTCAGGATGATGAAGTGCGTGTGTGCGTGTGTGCATGTATTATATATTATGTTAATAATAATAGATAATGATGCTTTAATATTTAACATATCTATCTATCTATCTGTCTGTCTATCTGTCTATCTGTCTGTCTATCTATCTATCTATCTATCTATCTGTCTATCTGTCTGTCTGTCTGTCTGTCTGTCACAACACAAAGAGAAAAGTTATTTTCATGTGTCAATTTTGGAAAGTAGGCTTTGTATAATATGAATTTATCACAAAAATGCCAGGTCACTGCCGTCGCCGGCATTTATCTGATACATCTGGCTGGCTGTGGCTCAGGTGGTAGAGTGAGGTGTCCTCCAGTCGCAAGGTTGACAGTTGGATCCCCCGCCCCTTTACAGTCGAAGTGTCCTTGGGCAAGACACTGAACCTACAGTTGCATGGAAGCTCTGTTGCCATTGGTGTATGAATGTATGTGTGAATGGAGGAATGAAAAACACATTATAAAGCACTTTGAGTACCACTAAGGTAGAAAGGTGCTATACAAGTGTAGACCATTACCATTTACATTTTAATCAAGCAGCAGCATGACATAATTAATAGTGCTGAGACTTGAGTAGAAACACTCAAAGTGTTACTCTTGCAGAGGAGCTCTCTACATAGTTCACTACATGTATAGGTTACAGTATACTGCATATTAACAGAGTCATCCTGGTGAGTTGGGAAAATCCCCAGGAGCCATCTTCAAGAAGCTATAGATTCCAAAATTGTATATGCAAACAATTAATGTAAGGATAAAGTGCATGGTGCAATTTTATCACTGCCATGATCAGTAAGAAAATACAAAGCATGTCAGGAAAGTTTCAGGACTGGTGTCACAAAAGATATATTTCTAACCCTGACTACAAGCTACGAGTTTTCCCCTTCAAAGTAATCGCCCTGGAGTATAGAACTGCGATCTCAGCTCTCTGCAGCCATTGAACTTTTTCCATGTGCTTTTATATACATATCCTCTGTTTCATGTCATCAAGCAAAGAGCACAGAGCAACGAACAAACCTGAAGTTTCTGGTCTGGTTGGGGAAAACTCCGTCAGAAGCACTGGGATTGGTGCAGCAAGTGTATGGAGATGAGACGATGTCACGCTCACTTGTTTTTTTAAAGATACAAGAGTTTCCACATGAGGATGTGGAAGACACCCCCAGAAGCGGAAGGCAGATGGTGCGTTGTGATCGCCAGTTGACTGTTCGACTCATCTTAGATTTGGGCATGCGGAAAGTCTGCGCAAAGATGGTGTCGATACGACTGAATGATGACCAGAAGGATCGACTCATGCAAGTGAGTCAGGACATCCTCGAGCATCTTGAAACTGAACCAGACTTGCTAGGGAGAGTCATGGATCTTTGAGTATGACCCAGAGACCAAACGCCAGAGCCTTTAATGGAAGAGTTTGACATCGCCAAGGCCGACGAAAGCAAGACAGTTAAGTCCAAAGTCAAATTCACGTTGATCGCATTCTTCAATGTGAAGGGCATTGTCCACTGCAAGGTCTTGCCACAGGACCAGACGATTAACCAGCGCACTGTTCAGTGCGCGAGAAGAGGCGAGAGTTGTGGCAGGACAACAAATCGTGGCTGCTTCACCATGACAATGCGCCTGTTCACAATGCCCTGAGCATCCAGCATTTCCTGGCTGAGAAGAACATTGCCGTGCTGGAGCAACCTCCCTACTCACCCCATCTGGCTCCGTGTGATTTTTTTCCTCTTCCCCAAGCTCAAGGGGGTCATCAAGGGGACCCGTTTTGAAGATGTGGACGACATCAAGATGGCTGTGTCGATGGAGCTGTGGAGGATCCTGGAAGAATCCTTCCAGGAGTGCATGGCGGCTTGACAGAGAAGGCTGGGAAAGTGTGTTAGACTCCAGGAGATTACTCGAAGGGAAAAAATGTAGTTTGTAATTTGAATTTGAAATATAGAATAGAATAGAATGCTTTTATTGTCATCATACACAAGGTACAACAAAATTAAAATATATCTTTTGTGACACCAGTCCTGGGGCCTCATTCATCATCAGTGTGTACGCACAGATATGTGCGTAGGGAGTGCGTACAAACATTCCTACGCAAAGTATGGAATTGATCAACTTGTACGTATACTTAGGAATATGCGTAAATATACACACAACTATGACCATGCGTAAGCACATAATCTAGCAGTAGAATAGTGAAACTACAAATATAAAGCATTCAGGGATTTTGTCCACCCGCACATTCCCACGTGAGGTTGGAGACATGCGGCATTTCCCAGCCATCACTGAGCAGGATCTTGTCGGAAGTGTTGAATGCTGTAATTTCCCTGGCCCCAGCCTACATCCAGCTCCCTTACAGCCATCACCAATGAGCTGAAATCAAATGGGGACTGCACGCCATCACTGGATTCCCAAACATAATTGGAGCCATAGACTGTACCCACATCGCAATCAAAGCAGCATCACTAAAAAAATGTGATTATGTAAATAGAAAAGGGTTTCAGTCGATCACGTACAAACAATTTGCGATGCACATTTGTCGCTGACCTTAATTTCAGTTTCAGAAAAGTTCCTCTTTTTCGCTCTTTTTGTCATAATGATGACGACAAGTGAGGAAAAAATAAATCTTTACTTGCTTTATAAAAAGGCATGTTGTTACCATATATGGTTATTTGGAGGCGTTTCTGAAGGTAAAGTGCACGAGCACAGTGTTTAAGAACAAGTGGGATTTATCAACACTGATGATTTACTGGTGTGCGTATAACCCACAGACACACGTTTGATGAATATAGATTTTTTTGTGCTTACGTACACTCTAAATTTCGTTCATATGACAGAATTTAGAACATTTTCTATGCACTGATGATAAATGAGGCCCCTGGAACTTTTCTGACACACCTCATACAAACCATCACCTGCTGCTGAGAGACAAATGGTCAGGATGGTAGGATTTAACCAAGGTTTGCTGGTCACCACATCAACAAAGTAAAAGCCTCCTGGAAGCAAGTTCTGTGGTCAGATGAAACAAAAAAATATTTAGCCTCAATGTCCCGAAATATGTATAGAGGAGAAAAGATGAGTCGTTTAGCACCATAAACCCCATACCTACCGTCAAGCATGGCGGTGGTAGTATTATGCTCTGGGACTGTTGATGCTTTACACAAAGTAAATGGAATAATAAAGATCCATCGATGCACTTATCACGGGGCCCACTTATCACAAAATTGGTGCAATCGCACTTTAAGTTACATCAAGAAAGTTTAAACACTTGGCGCTTGGTCAGTATGCCAATGAACCATCCAAATCGTCAGCTCAATCACAGTCGTCTCATTTATGGGAAATATGTCCACTTAAAATAAAGTGAAGTATTCAATAAATGATTCCAAAAAACAGATCACCCAGCAACTTCTTGTCAGGCAATATGTAAAAACCAGAACAAGTTGTCTGAGAAAATCAAATCCTCAGAAACTTTGGGGTCAGTTTTTTTTTTTTTTGATCTCAGCCTTAAGAGTGACTTGGTTAAGGAGTTATATCCAACTTTCCTCCAACTACTTTGTAAATACAGCAACCTGCCTTGACTTTAGGTTTTTTGTCATTCACATAGAGTTTTATCACAAGGCAAGATGAAAATGCCACAGGGACGTTTTGTTTTATTCATCACTAGGCATAAAATAGTCCATAATCCATAAAAGTTTTTAGTCTTTGGCTTTCATGGTGGACCACACTTTTGTTTCTGATGTTTGGATTTTTGTTTTCCATAGACTTCTGCTCCATCTTGAAGATCACTGATCAGTCCAACCAGAACATCACCTGCAACATCTTCCGTGAGAAGCTGGAGGACCATCCCAAAATCTTTCAAATCGGAGACATCGTCCGTATGCATAGAGTTAAGGTCTGGTCTTTAAAAAAATAAAAAAATTCAAGTAGCTTTTACTTGTTATTTGCTACGTGTTAATTTGTAAATCTCGATCACATCGTTCTTCACAGGCTCAAGTCTTCAAAGACACCATCTCGCTTGTCAACGCCTTTGGTTTTTCTGTGGTGACATTTGACGGGACAGTAGGTGGAGCTGTGGAACCACGAACATCTAGCAGCTATTTCCACTTTGACCAGGAGGACCGACAGAGAGTGGAGGAGCTGCGATCCTGGGCCTCAAGCCAGGCCCTCCTCCCCCCAGTCTCTGCTTCAATCCCCTTGTCTGCTGTGCAGCCCAGATCTTACTTTGACCTAACCTGTCAAGTGCTGGCCAAAGCCCCCATCGACTCCACCTGCATCCTGCTGAGGGTAAGAAACCTAAACAAAAGCTGTTTTCAAGTACAAATGCAGCTCACTGTAAATATACGATTTGGATTTATTTTCGAATGATCTGTTCTATAATTCAGGGGGCAATGAGTGAGATAGTTAAAAAATAAATAGATAAATACATAAGTGATATATATGTATCTCCGTATAGGTAACATAAAAGGAAGTGAGATGTGCTTCATATTGATATATATGGCATTTTGTAATTATAGAACACTGGTTACGCCTGGATTATGCTTTCTGTACGAACGTGACACGTGGAGGTGAGATGCGCTGAATTATCACAAGAGAACGCTTTTATACTCTGTGCAGCATCTGTTACCAAACTGTAGGGGGCAGTGGGTCACAAACACACGTATATCACAGAACTCAATTGGAGTAGAAGAAGTTTGGCATTGGTTACATCGCTTACAGCATATGACGATATTAGATCGCAAACGATTAGAATGTGTAGACGATCTGCCAAAGTGAGGAGATCGTATGGATCGTTTAGGTCACATTCTATAAATTGCAGTTCTATGCTGACACGCCGACGGACCAGACGTATTACGTCGTTAACCTGACCAACCAATCATTGCAAATTACGGGCAATGACACAGTTTCTTATCTGCCTCCATGGAGAGCCATGGCTGAAAGCCACATTGTCTATCCCAGATGTTCATTCCGCAAAACTTACAGCCAAGAGACTTTGCTGAACATCAGGGCAATAAACATTGCTAAAATTGCGGCGCTTGGTTGTGATTTGGACATACTACACCAACACAGAGTCTGATTGGAGACAATGCTGGCAGTTACCCGAGAGAGAAGGAAGCGCAAACGGTACGATCGTAAACAAAGGAGGAGGAAGACAGCCGGGATCCATGCTAGGCTAGGATTTGATTCGCTTTGCTTTGAAATGACAAAACACAATCAAAGGTAGTTTGCAAAGTTTGCAGAGACGGTTCACACGTCGGATGGCAACACGATGAGCATGTTCAATCACTGTACATACAGAATGGTTTGGTTGCACTGACCAGAAACTTGCAAATTAGTCTCAGAAATCCATGTAAGATCGTGATAAAGTTGAAATCGTGATATTATAATAAAGAAATTGTGATATGATATTTTTGCCATATTGCCCACCGCTACTCTATTGTTATTTGCGTTCTTAGTTTCATAATAATAAAAACTTTATTTATTATTATTATTATTATTATTATTATTATTATTATTATTATTAATAATAATAATAAACTAAGACAGGAAATAACAATAGAGGACACTAACAAGCAAACCCAAGTTCACCATATAATCATCTCTGCATCTGAGAGGCACTGTGTGCAAATATGTTGCCATCTATAAAGGCATTTGGAAAAACTGAATGTAGTGTATGTTGACTGTTCACAGAGCCGATGAACTGTGCATTATACCTTTTAACTGGCTGTAACTGCAGTGTTGTATGGTGAGCTGTCATTTTGCGATTTTTGTGTCTTCTTTTTCTGGACCTACTACAGCACTGTGAAACTGCAGGTTTTTAAACAAATTTGTGTCCTGTGGGTAAGTTGCCATCTACAGGCCACATAGACTCTGGAAGCGATAAAGTTACTAAGCAACTGTGAGTTGGTACTGGCAATTAAATGCCGACAGGGTGATCACGACGCCAAAGGGGAAGCCCTGTTTTTTTTTTGGATTACTGGTAGTCTAATATACAAAAAAACCAACACACATACACATAGACATTTTATGACCCATTTCTGTGTTAAAGGCCCACACACACTGTACGCGAAAAATATCAATAAAAGACTGGTCAGTTTTATCGTTGCAGTGTGAATCTACACACACACACACGACTCACATGCCTGGTGTAGCCATTTTCACTGATTGTAGCAGCAGTACAGTGATGCAGCAGCGGCTCTGTGAATGGTCTGTCTATATTACAGGTTCAGTGTATCCACACCACTCATTTCTGGTGTCTTCACACATGAGTGTCAACCATACAACCTTGCCTTACTGCCCACTTGAGACTCACAGTTGTATGACAACACACAAAAAGATATGTCACTTTTCATGACCCCCGATGATTTAACATCAGTTGCCACACATGCTTATGTAACAGTCACCACCCTCTGTATCTCACTCTTATGCAATAAGCCATATGGGCTGTATTTGAATCATATAACAATGTTCAGATTTCCTTAAACTATACTTTTTTACAAAGTAATTAGCATGCATGAGATCTGTCACTGTCACGGCAATGCATTAGAAAAACTCGACTGAAACATATCGAACATACGGACACAACTGGCCAAACAGCGAATAGAAACTATGTCCTTGCAGAGGACAAACTTTCATGTGTCGCCATGATGCTCAACAGAGGACAAAGGTGTTTCAGCGAGGACTTAAACTGTGGTTTTAAGTTTGTCCTTCATATGTGTTGACTCCAGGATTTAATTTGAATTGATTTCACATCACACACTAATGAAAACTAATGATAGACCTGAGGCTGAGGTTTACCTTTAGCGTGGGATGTTTCCTGCTAATCAACAACCAACCAGAAAATCCCTGTGTTCACATTGCTGCATCACAGTCACTAAGAAGCTTCCCTCTGGGATGTATACTGTCAGCTTATATCCATTTGTTCTTACCACCTTGTTTATATTACCCACCTGCTTTCTGGTGTTAATGTGACATGCTGTTTTGTCATGAAGCTGTATTGCTGTCTCGTTCCTCCACGTTCCTCCAATTCCTTCCCGCCTGTAATAACAATCTTTAACCTTCTTCCATTTGAATATTTTCGTAGTTAATTTTATGTTTGTCTTTGGAATAGTGGAGCTGTTTACTTTGTCTTCATGCGTCTTGTGGGCAACCTACTTGACAGTCTGGCGGTCTCAATGGGGGGCGGTCTCATGAGATTTACCTTGGTCTTGAGCAGCTTTACCTGCCACCTTAGTTTTCAGAACAGAAATGAGGCTGTAAGTAATGGCTGGTTTCTTGCCAGTGAGGCTGATAGAGGAGATAAATTTGAACAGGATTTGGCAGTGACCGCTGGTCTGCAGCCAGTCGGCTCTCACTGATTTTAAAGCTGCTCTGAGCCTGTTGTTACCCAGTGACACACACAACCAGGAAAGGGTGTTTTTCAAACCATAACAAGCGACTTGGTAATATTCATAGATATTGATATTGTACTGTGCCTCTCCTTAAACAGATCAAAACCTCAAAAGAAAGGCATTATTGATGCATCCTAATCAGATGTCTGAACCGTCTAAACCGGTGCTTTGTATTTGCAATTTGATGCTTTCACTTGCTACCCAAAGGTCTTGCGCAGAGCTTAGTGTTGAAAAGTACATTCTTGTCATTTGGCGCTGTAGTTACATCCCTTCGAGTTAAACTGTGGGTAAAAAATGTATATGTTGTTATTCTCTAATATCTCTAGTGCCGACAGCAGCTGTGTAATAGCTGTGGTACCGTAGGTAAACAAGTATCATCATGCAGTATTTTGGCATTGACATTGTACAGAAGTACTGGTTCTTGTGACATGCCTCATCTATACACCATTCTCCCCAACAACATTGTCCAGCTCCTTTTTGGGGGTTCAAAGACATTTTCAGGCTAGATGAGGGAAGTATTCACTCCAGTGTATTCAACGGCGACCCCATGGTCTCCCTCTAAGTTGGACATTTCCAGAAGACCTCCAATAGAAGGCCCCAAGAAGACGATATGAGGATATGCCTGAATCACTTCAACTTGCTCTACTCTAGGCAAAGGAGAGGCAGCTCTGATACAAGTTACTCAGTAAAATAAATAGTGAAAATAAGCGTCATTAACCATAAATGTCTTTTTAATGATTGACCAAACAAATCGTTTACAGTATAAAAAGAAAATCTGATAATTTGTTTCTATTCTGCTTAGTGGTGTCTTTTCAATCAAATGGTTGTTCAGATTTTTAGATGTCTCTAATATCTGCTCCCGTCCAGTTACTGTGTGTGTTTTGTATTCAGGAATCTGTTGAATACAACACAAACACATTGTTGAAATTTGTTGTGGCTGCAAAATGTCGCCATGTTCTTTTTTTTCCCCTAAAGAACTAGACAGACAATTTAATGAAATACCTGCATCACTATCAATCAATATCCATGTCCTGCTCGATCTGTATGACATATTTTTATGTTGTTGTTGTTTTTTTCAGGTGTGGGACGGGACCAGGTGTCCTCACCCTCTGTTGAAAGTAGTTGTAGAGCCAAATGTAACAGAAGGACCGTCCTCCTTCTCCAGGGAGAAAGAGAACCTCATCGCCAACATCCTTGTCTACGACAATCATGTGGATTGTGCCAGGCAACTGAAGGTCAGAACTCACCAACAAACATAAAATTCTGGAAATGAACTAGACTACTGAAAGCTAAAATTAGAATTATTGTGTTAAGTCATGATTATCTAACCGCCTTTCTGATGGATTCTGCATCAAAAATTGTATCACTAAACCTTATAAGTGACTAACGTACTCCTTCCAGACATGGCAGTACCAACGTTCATTTGTCGTTAACGTCTCTGAATACTGTGCATTGATAATTAGACCCTGACACTGTTTTAATTTTAGGTTCTGCTGCTTGAGCATGTCCATCACTATGGTGATGTTTTCTTTCTTTCTTTTTGGTATTAAGCTTTAACCTTGAAATACTTGCTTCTTATCAATGCATACATAAGAGCTGCTACTTGGGCAACAATTTTGACATACTTGTTTGCGTGCTTTGTGTTTATCTCAAAGATGTTGGTAACATCATGGTCAAGTCAATTAATGAAAATATCAGGTTTTGCATATCACAGTGAGATGAAGAATGAACAGATTTTGCATTTTCTCCTCCAAACTTTCCTCCATTATTTTTGTGGTTAGTTCAGTGTTATTTTTTTACTCTATGGCAATATAACATTAATGAGTCGAGACATTATGACCTGCCTAATATGGTGATGGCCCTTTACATGCCACCAAAACAGTGCTGACCTGCTGGGGCACAGTTTCTACCAGACCTCTGAGGGGTGTCCTGGTGTTTCTGGCAATGTTAGCAGCAGGTCCTTTATATTCTGAACGTTGCAAGTTGGAACAGTTAAAGATCAGCCCTTAACACTCTGGATCTAGCACAGTCACTCAGGCTTATATTCCTAATTTCTTCAGCATCCAACATAATGATTAAAGATAAAACACTTAATGAACATAACTAATTAAACTTGATTCATTCAATAACTGTCACTGAGCTTGTATTCTCTTTTGCAAGAAACACCTGAGAACAAACAAATACACTAAATCACAACAATAAGAATGTTTAACTCAAAGCAACAATTTAAAGAAACACTAATTATTGGAAATATATTTCCTGGAACGAAGACGATTCTGAGTACTCATGTTTCATTTTCTCTAGCAGAATGTGTCTGACCCCCTCTACCATTCAGGCAGATGCACATTTCAGTAGTAAGATGCTTGGTACGAGAAACCAATCTACCTCAGTTCTCAGTTGGTATTAGAAACTTTAATGTGATCTGGCTTTTGGCTCTGAGGTCAACTAAAGATGTCAAATATCTGAGAAGCTTACACAGTGTAGCTTTATAAATGTAGACACAGTTATGGTGAAGCTTCTAAATAGTGATGGCCATGCAACCTTTTCATAAAACTCGCAGAGGTGAAAACTGTAATGTAAAGAGTTGAATGACACTATAGCACATAGTGTTGAGTGGCAGCAGCATGAGCATGCAGTTATTCAGTTTTATTTCAATTCTATTCAATTTCCTTTATACAGCGCAATTCAAATGTCATCTCACAGCGCCTAACGTAGTAAGGTGAAGCCCATACGAATTTTGAACAAAGAATCCAGCAATCCAAAGTTGCCCTTGGCCTCCCTCTGAGCATGCGGTCGGCAGCATTGGGAAGGAACCAAACCCAAACCTCCTTAACTGGTTGGGATGAGAGTGGGGTATAGCAGGATAGCAGATGGAGAGCAAGCAATACAAACGGAACAATACGTATTTGGAGTTCCGATCACAGACGTGAAGCTCCAGATCCAGAGACATCTGCAGAGAGAACAAGCACAGGACCTCAGGGGAAACACAGAGTAGTGATATGTAATGGTGATATGTAACTGTATGTAAGAAAGGAGAGTAGAGGAGAGGAGCCCAGTGCATCATGGGAGTCCCCCGGCAGTCTAAAGCTATAGCAGCATAACTAAGGGACAGTTCAGGTGATCCCGAGCAGCTCTAACTACAAGCTTCATCAGATAGGAAAGTTTTAAGTTTAATCTTAAAAGATAGAGAGCGTGTCTGGCTCCCGAACCCAAACTGGGAGCTGATTCCACAACATAGGAGTCGTTTCCTTAATCCAGCGTGAACTGTATGTTTTTTCTGTTTTCAGAATAGCACCTCTGGCTCAATATGACTACTTATTTTTGAGCAAGACATTTAACATTTGTCATCTTCATATGTGTCAGATCTTACACGTGACAGTGTTTTGGTTAAACTGTGTATATTCATGTTTAAGCACCCAACAATAATGGTTAACAGTAATGCTTAAATCTTATCCATTCCAAACAGAACTGGGAAATCAATAGTGAGAAAATAAGTCAAAATGCGGATTTTCATTTACATGCTTTATGCACATTCACACATTTTTTTTTATTCCTCAGGCTTAGAAGGCTCCATCAGCATGGTTCTTATATTTCAAGAACATTGATTCTACACAATTCATTCATATATGGATGCTAACTGAGGGTTGAACACCTGTTGAAAACACTTTCATGTTTCGTGCCTTTTGATACAAGTAGTACCACTGAAATGCCAAATAAAGGCATATCTGAGCAGCCCAACTGAAATCATCTGCACACCGGAGCCAAATGCGAAATTCTGAATAATTTGGGTCCATACATGTAGCTGTCTTAGACTTACTGTGTGTAATATTTTTGTTTTTTTACAAATGCTTCAATAGTGGCGATGATATTTAGCTGTAAAAACATCAAAAAGAAAAGTTGTGTTGAGCCGAACTTGATGAAAAGTTCTTTTTGAAGTCAGATAATTACGTTTGAATCTTTTTTGAATAAGAGTGAAAAGAAGACGGGATTCATTTACCGTTATCTGGCAGCTTTTGTTGTCAGTGACCTCAGTCTGTGCTGAAGGATTCAATCACTCAATAGAATTTGCACAAGGTAGGTGGAGGAGTGACAGTAAACTCGTTCTGTTGCCTCGCCCTTGATCTTGTAACATCAATAAATAGAATTCATTCACAGCTCTTAGTATCGTCAGAAATTTTACAAGACACAACGTAGCTTAGTTTAAGTTATGCTGCATTTCACATGTCTCACTGGGATACGCCATAGATCTGTAAATATTGTTCTTATAAAAGCATCCCTCTCTGGTCATTGATGTAACCCCAGATGCCTCCTTTAGCGTGTGCAGCTCTATGAAGTCCTTGTTTCTCTTTCAAACCAAACCCCTTCCCACTTGCAGTTTGAACAAGCTAGTTCAGCTACGACACCTACCATCTCTGGTCTGAAGTAGAAAAACGGTAGAGAAATCCCCACCCCACACGTTTATAGGACTGGTTCTGTCGGTTTGTAATACATGAAACTCTGAA